ATTGTAAAATAGTTTTTTTATATGTTGCACACCGGGTGAAAAGTCAGTCGTGTAACATCGACGGTCGCTCCTGTACCTGTGACCGAAGTGATTGTGATCATGACCGATAGATAATTTAAAATTCATAACGCTTAGGATAACTTAAGGATAGAATGTGGTAAAAAACGGTTTAAACAGTTTTTTAAACGTTCTTTTACGCTGAAGCTGAAAATATTGCTTTTGATTATTTAATTTTAATTTTCAACAGAAAATTTTTTTTAAAAAAGACGTTACCATATAATTTCAACCTATCAGATATATACGTAAAAAAAAATAATAAAAAAAATTAATGCATTCGTTTTAATTTTTATCAAGCTATCTATCGATAGCTATTATTTTAAATGCAAAATTTGCTTGCCGGTCAATACAACCTTTCATTCTACATTAGTTTTACATTTGTTGGTACTGAAAGTCCAAGATTTACAATATTGCCATTATTTAAACCCATAGAATAAATTTTTGCGAATGAAGCATCAGGATCCTACTTTTTGAGTTTTTAAAAATCTTATATATTTCTTGTAAGTTTTTTAATGAATGACCTTTTAACTGGTCAACCAAATCAACGCAGTCTTCATCGTAATACAGTAATTACATTTTTGGCGTGTTATTCGGTCATATTTATCAGATTCAGTAACTTTTGTAAACTTTAACCGGATTTCTTTGACGAGGATATTTCACGAACATGAACATATATATATATATATTGAATTTCGTAACATAATATTATACATTTGAAACATAATTACGTCATAATGTATTAAAACATTTTTTAACAGATTTAAATCAAACAAACATGATTTTTAAAGTCTGTTTAAAGCATTTGCCATCCTTAGGATAACTTTAGCTCATGATAACATAATCCAAGCCGGAACTATGTGCTGTATTTACACAAAATTAAGCCCATGGGCATTATTTTGTGTAAATATGGTAACAGTTTTTAGGAAATTAAATGGTTCAAATCCTTATACTAGTTATTATTTCATTAATATGATTCTAATGAACTCAACTTCTTTTCAAATACATATGTAGTAAAAATTTTGTCAGAATTTTCTGTCATATACTTATGTTGTATTATTAGTGTTTTCGTTATAAAGTGGCTGTATATGGGTTTGAAGCCCAAGATTTGGGTTTAATCCTTAAAAGCTAAAATTTATAAATATAACGCTTAAACTAATAAAGTGAATCTGCTTTTCCTGTAATAAATAAATATGCTAACTAAACTAATTTCCTTAATAAGCAACTATAATTAAATCCGAATCTGCCAATAAGAAACAATCCACTTAATATGCGCATGCACACGTATTGCTCTCCTGAATAAAGGTTATGAATCATAAGTTGAAGTCACGAGATTCGACCTTTGGGTATTAATAGCAAACTACATGGCTCATATTTGAGCAAATCCAAACCACTTGAATCGAATCTGACAGTTTGCCAAAAAGGAAATTCGGCGCCGGTATATATAGAAAAATCTTATGTGACAATGAGGGTAGAATGTACAAATTCAAGTAGGAAAATTTGGTTCTTTATTTATAGTACAGTATAGCAAAAAATAATAATAATAATAAAAAGATATTTGATTTATAAAAAGATTCTTTAAAATATTAAAAATATTAGCCACTTTCAAAAGACTCTACTAATACGTTTAAAGAATTTTCATCTGAAGCATCAAGTTCTTCTATATATTGATGCCCTAGTTCTAAAAGATAAGAAATACTATTGAAATCATCTAATGCTACTGGCTTGCCTAACAAAACCTGCCATCGTTGATAACAATTTCCCAGAATGGAGTACATTGAGTCATCTACGTTACATTCATCGTAATATTTCCAAAAAAGTTGGTAATGATGCAAATCTGGATGCAAAGGATCTGGTATATAACTACCAGTTCCCAAAGAAAGTACTGTAACTTTTCTAGTATCGCCACTTTCATAAAATTCACTATAAGCTGTCAATGCGGGATTGTTAAGTTTTACACCTCCATCTACAAAAATGCCTCTATTTTTTATTTCATAGGATGGAAAGAAAGTAGGTGCAGCAGTTGCAGCCATTAAAATATCAAAAAGTGTATCATCTGAGTTATTACGTGTGAACAAATGCGGCTGCATGTTATCTTTTACTGCAGGAATAACCAAATTGTTGAGTGCTTGATTAAGCCGGATTTTTCCAAAATATTTGTCAAATATAGAAGAACGTCCTTCATCTGTATATTTCGTTGCTGTAAAGAAATTCCATGAAGAACTGGGGGTGAATATAGATTTCGCTTGGTTCTGGTAAAACTCTAACAAATTAGTAGCTGAATAAAGTGGCTTTAAACTTGATAACTCCCCACACGGCATTGAAAGCCCAGCACCAATGAATCCACCTGTAGAAGTTCCAGCTACCATGTTAAATAGCTGAGAAATGGGTTTACGGGTACGATATTCTAGCTCACTGAGCCATAAAGCAGGTAATATGCTACGCACACCTCCTCCATCAATCGAGAGAATTCTATAAACGGAATTATCTTCATTATATCTATGTAAATTCTTAAATGATTTATCTGCATAATATATTTTTTTATTATGACAATTAACACGATTTTCAACACTATGCTCTTTTACTCTATCAAGGAGTCTCTTCTGTTTTGTAACTAAGATATTTTGAGGATTTTTATTCAATGCCTCATTAATAAATTCCATAGCCTCGTCGTATTTTGTTTCTTTATAAGAAGCGATACTACATAGTCTCCAATATTCGGCAAATGAAGTTAAATCTCGATTTGTATCAATAAGCTTTATAAGCCGATTATGCTGTGATAAATTTAATAAACATTTTGCAAAATTAAGAGTCGCAGATAGGTTACCGGGGCTCATTTCACATACTTTCTTATAATGTTCTTTAGCATTATGCCAATGACGTAAACTGCTTAATAAGTCAACTTTACCTTCTTCAGCCAATTTCACAAAGTGATCAGCTAGTTTACTATGAAGGTTTAATATTTCATCGTTGTTGGACTCCCTTTGTAGTTTGTCTTTCAAATATTCCATATATTTTTTATCATATTTTTTATCATATTTTTTAACAGGTTCTTCATTAAATTGTTTTTCAGCTGGTTCTATAGAGTAAATTAAGGGAGATTTAGGCACATCACCCCTCATAACCCACAAAAAATCTTCCAAAGCTTCGAGACGTGATTCGGTTGTACTAAAGAATTGATAATTAATACTCAATGATTTTCTAATTTCCTCAACTATTTTGCTAATTCTCACAAGTGCACTCTTGTCATTACTGATTATATCAAAAATTACGAGGTTAAGTCTCGCAATATTACGCATTTCCTCCAATCTTGACTGAAAAGGCATTTTTCGAGCATCGTCTTTATATTCTTTTGCTAATTCACTATATGGTTTAAACCGCAAAAAATCTATGATATTATGAAAGATACTCTTAGCCATGCTTTTCAGATTATCTTCTCTTAATGCATGAATACGGTCATCCAGTGCTTTAGCTTTTTTCATAAGCTTTTCGTATAATACTCCTTTAAAAGCAAATTTTCCCATAGTTCTTAACTCTTCTGATGAGATATCATTATCTGGAGTTTTTATTTTGTTACTGCTTAGCACCTCACCTATCAGATTTAACAAATAAGCGATTCCATCTGATCTGAAACCATGGCTCAAAAGTGAATCAATTATAATTTCAGGAATAATTATATTAGATTCTTTTAATTTTATTATACTGGTGTCCTTTTCGTATTCCTCACGAAGTAAGTCGAAAAATTGCTGATAATTTCCTTCATCATAAGCATTTAATGCATTTTTTATAATTTCATTGAGATTTTCGCGGATTTTTGGCTCATCTAAAAGCATTGTACCTTGTTTCCACGGGCTTGAACTGTACCATAACGATATTAGAGGTGCTAGCCATAAAGTGCTTATTATGGGAGCAAATACAGCAGATGCAACTCCAACAGATACTAACGCGCATTCCCCCATTAATGACACAACACCAGCTATTTTATACTTAACAGTTTGCTTATTGGAATGCAAAATATCTTCTTGAGAGACTTGACAACTAACAACTCGGCGATCTGGTTTGAACATTAATTCGGCTGATATCTTTCTTAAATCGTCGTTAACCGAATTTTGAATATCGCACTTCTCCAAAAAGGACATACCTTCGTTCACCACTTTAACCAAAGCCTGTGAATTACTTAAATCGTCATTCAATTTAATATCCGTATTTAATTGAGATGTTTCACCTCTAACTTTATCAAATACTTTTTTGGCATCGACCAGTTCCTTTTGAGAGACATGCTGTGAATTCTGAAAAATTAATCTAATTGCTGATAAAGCGTATAGTTGAGATTCTAATGAGTGGTCGGAAATATATAAACATAATGCCATATTTTTTCGTAGTTTTATTTGCTGTTTTAACTCTTTGGCTATATCTGCAACTTTACAAGCGGCTTGATATTCCCCATGAGCCAATAATCCATACGATACGCTTAAATCTCTTAGTTGTTTATTAGGGATTCCATTAATGTCATCTTTATTTAAAATCTTTAGTTTTTTTCCATTATTTTTATAGGCGTTACGAAAATCATTCGCAATATTAAAATTCGCATTTGCTTTCTCTTCATGAAAATTAAGTCTGCCTTTGCTTTCTGAAGCTTTTTCCAAATCCTTCAATAAACCTTCTTTAATTTCTAGAATAATTCTAAAGAGCTCTGCACCGAGATATTGATCGTTACCATGAAGTCCATTTGGAGCATTGAAATATTTCGTTCTATCTGGATGGAAACAAGAAGAAAGTTCTCTATAACGTTTATTGATTGCCCCTTCTGTAAACAAAATATTGCGGAATAAAATGGCTTTCTTATCAGGATCAGGTGAATTTAAAATATTGTGTATGAAATTTAATCTTTTTGAATAAACCATTTGGCTAGTGAGATGATTTGCAAATTCTTTTAAATCTTTTAAAACTGTTAAACGATCACGCACTTTCTCCATTTTTTGCTTAATCTCTAATTGATTCGATTCACCATTGTCTTCATTATTAAGTTGATCCAAAACAACCAGTTCTTCATCAATTGGAACCTTTAATAACTTGAGCAAAGAATTCTCACAATTAATAAGCTTCTGGTAATCTTCAAAGGTTTTTGGTGACTCGTGTAAATTTTCAAACTCTTTTCTAATAGGCTCAATAACCGTCTCGCCTAAAATATCTTGTGCTTTTATTAGTTTCTCTCTTACGGATTCCTCTAACAAGCTTTTGCCAGAATTGGAAGATTGATTATCTGATACATCGTTTATAAACAATAAGGATTCATTGTTATCGATATTTTCAATTGAAGATGCCATTATTACTATCAAAAACTAATATAGGAAATCATTTACGATTCGGAAGAGAAATATACAAGATGCTAAAGATAAGTTGACAGAATTGATAGTGTAGTGTAGATCGTTTTAAAAGAATATTTATATGTGTAGAGGTAATTTTTTAGGTATTTAGTTCAGATATCAACGTATACGCACGTATTGTCTGAAGTAAATTCATGAGATTTTATATTAATCGCTTTGTATCACTTGAATATGTTCAATTACGCTCAACAATCACTAATCGTGATGTTGCGCTATAGTAATAATAATGAATTCGAGTTAAATAAATTTTGAACTGATTAGAGCATAGTCTGTCTAATATAGTTTAAGATTTGCCCTATGACTAATATGATGACGCAGAATACTTAACTCTGATTAATTAATAATAGCTTTTATCGAACGAAGTTTTTCTTATTAAAGATTACAAGAAATCATAGCATTATTAAATTTTTACCAAAATGTTACTAGCCTAAATTATTGATCTGATGATCTGTTGTAGACACATGAACTGCGCGAACAAATCATGTGCATAGTTTTTTTTAAATATGTTTTTATTGTTCTACGAAAATGGACCTGGAATGGCAAGAATATAATGGACATAATTAATGGGATAAAGTAAGCATAAGTTAATTGGCAAGAATAAAGTGCGCACAATTAACAATATAATAATATACGTATCAGGCAAACAGATCTGTTAAGGAATTAAAATTTCGAAATAATTCAATTCTTTAGTCTATTTTTAAAATTAATGCGATATAGGGTGGGCAGATTAATACGCTTTCTTACCTAATATTACTTGAAATTATTCCTAACATTGTTTAATATTTTTTTACGATAAGAAATGATAATTCTATTTTTGATCGCTCGCTTCCGACTATTTTTCTATGATAAATTTACACATAACAAGTAATAGAATGTAATTGTACTTTTTTTGCTATGGCTAGGGTACTATCACCCGTTACATTTTTTTAAACAATAATTGAGTTACTATATAAAATTCACAAAACTTACTCACTTTTCGATAATTGTCCGGAGCGGAGTGAAGAACTTATTGTCCGGAGCGGAAGTGAAGGACTTACTGTCCAGAACTCTGTCCAGACCTCTGTCACGGGTGCCCCTGTAAATATATATATATATTGTCCGGAGCGGAGTGAAGGACTTACTGTTCAGACCTCTGTCCAGACCACTGTCACGGGTGCTCTTGTAAATATATATATATATTTAATTTACCTGGGGTATTTTGTATTATTCATAAAACATGAGGATTAAATTCATATTCGACATGCAGATTTATTTATACAACCAGAAAGCTTATTTTTTTGTAGATTACAATAAATAAATAAATAAATAATAAATATATTTTAACGCGAAGAAATAATCGGCAAAAAGAGAATAATAATCATATTTTTAACGCGAAGAATAATCATTAAAAAAAGAATATAAAAAGAGAATACAATATAAACTTTAATATCTAATACAGTATATTATGACTGAATAGTCTTAATTAAAATAATGTAACAAAAATTTTTTTAAAAATATAACCAAAATTAATTGTTTTTGTAATGGTTTATATTAATAAAAATTATTTAAATTATTAAACTATGTAAAAATAAAAAATAAAATGTATAGTAAGATGTAAAAAAAAAATAAAAATAAAGAGAAATAAAGCAAATATAGGGATGGATCGATTTTACAAAAACCGAAATAAGGATCGGTTTTTTAATCGGTTCCACGATTAACTGGTCCCCGGTCTCAAGACCGGTCTGAGCCGACTAAAGGCCGTTTGAAGTTAATTTTTCGGTTAACATAACTCCCCTAATGCCCCGGTAAAATGAACATATAAAAAAAGTAAAAATTAAAAAATACCATATAGCCACGAAAAAACGCGATGTGGTGTGGTTTCAAATTTCAGCCCAAATTAAGCTTAATTCAGGCCAAAATTCGAAATAACACCCTATGCGCTATTTCGCGGTTATACAGCAAATATAAAATAAAAAAATAATTTATAATAAAATAATTTAAATAAATTAAGTTAAAATAAAATAAAATAAAATTAACCGAATTAAAAATAAAAATAAAAATAGAGAAAAAATAAAGATAAAATTTTAGTTCCTACTTGGCTGTCTCACATATATGTTTATTTCGGTTTGTGATGAAACGATTCAAGAAAAGCTGCTGAAAAAAGAGCTTATGAAGTGTTTTTTTATTCGAATGTGAAGAGCTGGAGAACTAGTATTAATGAGTAATAAGAAAATTTTAAACAAACATTTAACTTTTACGGAAATAAAATTACAAAATCTAATTATTTGAATCGATACTTTTTTACATTAATTTTTAATCTATCCGATCAGTGATTTATTTCATTCATGAGAGTATTCAAAACCAATAGGAACTTGGAGAATTAGTAAACGATCTGTGATCGCTGCATATTGTAACGAATTACATTCGTTACTATATCTAAAATTCAATCCCGTGTTTAAATTTTTTATTTTATTATATTATATTATATTATATTATTATCTTTTATTTTATATTTTATTAGTGTTATTTCGTATATGTATATATATTACCCCACCAATTCCATTTTGATTACAATACCTGTGTGTATACCAGGAACGGAGTGATATTAAAAATTTCACGAAGTGTATGGTTATAATGCAAATTAAATGGCGTACGTACGCGAAATCATGCCGATTATTGGACAAATGCATATGGCGGAGTAAAGGTGTGAATGCATATTGAGTCTTCACATATGGTACTTCACATTATACATGTGACGCTTTATTCTATATTTAGCACGATTTGATCTTTGTACTACTTTTCTATTGTAATATGGTAGCTTCTCATCGATTTATTTAAAGCCGATATTAAAACATTGCTATACACATAATTGCGATTACAAGTGCCGTAACAAATTATAGTCGAAATTGATTTTTATACATAATATCAGTGACCCGATGCAAATTTACGTATCTATTTGCTGAATCTTTGGCATTTTCGTTTTTTTTTTAGGATTTTTTATTGGGTTGATTAAATGATAATCAATGATCGTCAAAGATGATAGCGAAAGAATTTGTTAAGCGTTTCAAATACATATAATCATTGGATTATATTTGTTTGAATTAAAGGGCGATCCAATTTTCTGAAAAAATTAACCCTGATTAAAATTGGTCGTCATTATAGGGCAAGTTTTACCAGCGCCTTTTCAGCTTTCGGAAGCTTGTAGCAGATATCTATTGCAATAATCTTATTAGCCGCGGAACTGCATTTATTAATCCTAATCGATGATTGTAAAGTCATTTCTAAATAATTTAATTTATAGCTTAATTTTATTTATGCAATAAGATCCGAATTACGAGATTTATCTATATTAAATCTTGATTTTTAAAAACTTATCATTATCTCTAACGTGATCCCTTTTCGTGTACAGTATTAGTTTACTTTGTGTGCAATAATTCGAGTTGACAAAAAGTCAACAGATCGAAAAGGTGACGTAAGCAGTGATCTGCTTGTGCGTTCACATGTGGCCGCAGGAGCACCGACTGGGTGGGAAACCGGATTGCAACAACTGATCGGCAAGAAGAATTTCGAAGCCTGCTACAACAATGCTAACAAAGAATTGCATTGTGGTGAGTATGATTCATTATAACACAAGTTTCGGAATTCAATACATGACTAGGTAAGCATGATCAGAATAAAAGAGTCGGAACTGAAAGCAGAAGCCCCACCTGCATCTAAGAATTCGCTCCGGATTTTGCACCCGGAACCACCCACCCCAGTGAATCCTGCCATTTTTGCAGTGAATACAAATCCTTTAGAACTACGGCCGGCCTGCTTTATGCAGGTGGGAAACCACCGGCTAATGCTAAACATCGCAAATTCTTCTACTAAAAAATCCTGATTAATATCCAGCCTGCTTTATGCAGGTGGAAAACCACCGGCTGATGCTTCGCATCGCTAATAATTATACATCGATAGCACTGATATATGCTGCTTATATCAATAAAGCATTTCTAATAAAGTTAATGACCAGCCTTATTTGGCGGGTGTGAATCCAATAATATATATATCACGTGCTTGTGACTCTTTTCGATGAACTGAATATTAATATACCATTTTTTGTAGTTTATTGCTAAAATCGTATAAGCTATACTCATTATCCGCTTATTCCTAGATTTGTGTACTGCGTGAAATTTAGTCTAACTTTAAATGAGCTACATACCTGTTTTTGTATTTTTATTTTCTCATGCCCCTCACTTACTTGTTCATCTTGATTATCATTATATGAGTACTGCCTATAATTGTTAGACAAAACCTTTTTTGCTTGGTGACTAAAGACGAAATCTAAGCCCCAAAATGATGAAACCCCAGACGAATGACGAAACCTCAAATTCTGCTGACGAAAAACGAAACCCAAATTCCAAATGATGAAACCCTAGTGCTCCCGCTAAAAAAAAAAAAAACCCCTTGCGCTCTCACTAAAAAAAAAAAAAAAAAACCGGATTGATGATAATAGTGAATCCCTAATTCTCTCACTAAAAAATTACTACTGAAATTTTGGCTTTGATGAAGCTATCAATAAAATAATAAAATTATCCCTATAATTTTAGATATTTAACCCGTCGATAAATCATTAATGAGGCTTTTTATATATATTTAATACTGAAGATGTTTATTGACTTGTGTGTATATTTAGGTTTTAAAAAGCCAATTAGGGATCTTTGCTAGAAAAATCACCCTTCAGGATTTTCTGATCGGGCTAATTCGGGAAATTTTAGACCAGTGTGAGACCGGAAACGTGACCTGACCACAGGCACGTGGATGCGTGACCCGGGAATTCCAAATTTGGGTTTGCCCACTGGAATTCCAGAGATTTTCAGTATTACAAGAATTAGGAAAATTTGGTGAATTTTTGGAATTAGGCGAAAAACAGGAATAAGGCGAATTTCAATAATTACAATAATTACAGTAATAAGGGTAAT